TTCGCGTCCCGGACCCGGTGGCTTAAAACTCACGCCGGGCGCGTGTGCGTGCGTGCCCAAGATCCCGAGAGGAGAATGGAGGAGGAGGGATTGTGGTGTGACCATCCCCTCTGGGGGGTGATTTCTCGCTTTCTGTCTCTTATGTCTCTCTCTGTCTGGCGAGCGCATAGGCCCTATAGCGAAAACCTCTCAAAAAAAATAATGATAAATGAAATGAAATTAATAATTTTTAAAAAGAAAGAAACAGCCCCCGCCAGGGACTCGATGTGCTGATCCACCTCAGCCTCAGCCAGCCCTGGGCTATGGGCAAGCACAGGCCTGGAGTCCTCAGGGTGGTTTCCAGTTGAATCAGGAGCTCTCCCAGGTGGGGTTGCTTCACAGATTTTAGCATTCTACCACGGCACCGCCATCTGGGCTTTTTAAAATGATGGTAGACTTACACAGAGATCTCCGAACAGGGCGGGATTCCCAAGTCCTCTCCCCCCAGCTCCCCCAACGTCCACACCTTGCAGAGCCCTAGAACAAAGAATGAGACCTGGAAATCCACACAGTACCACACGATGAACGAACCATCAACTGTGTTTGGATTTCAGGAGTGGTAACTTGTTTTGTTTTGTTTTTAACTTCTCAGGACCTCAACCCTGAGAAAGCAGCACGTGGTTGGGCATGTAGAGATGACCTCACTGTTACCTAGGCAACCCGTCTCCATAGCCACACCTTCCGCCTGTGCCACCTGTGCCGCCTGTGCTGCTGGCCCACAGGTGCGAGTGCACTTGGTCTCCACCTGTCTCTGGGTGCTCCTATCTCAAGCGGCTGTGAACAAGATCTCTCTGGGAAGAACTGGGATGCCCTTTGCCTTCCTGGTAGGATCCACTGAGAGCAGGCCCCTGCCCCCAACACTGGCTGCATTTACTGACAAATCTGTCCCTCTGAGGGTCACTGGCTGCCAAGCCAGGCCTGGACATGATCCAGGTCCACTAGCAGTCAGCATGAATCACAGACAGCTTCTCGTCCCCAGCCTGCTTTGGGGACTTGGATAAATAGCTGCTCTTACGCAAAGACAAAAAAAAAAAATCTACTGGAAAATATGCCCCAAATGTTTAACTACATTTGGTCCAAGAAGAGCTGTCCCTAGGGGCCTACATCTTGTTTAGATGTGTCTTTATTTTCCTGCCAAAGTTGTCTGCTGCACCCCCTTGAGGCACTCCCCCACATAGGCATGGTGTCCTGCCCAGCCCTGAGGAGGGCATGAGCCCAGCCTGGGCCTTCTGTGCCCCTCACAGCACAACGGCCTTTCAGGGGTGCTGTTAGTGCGGTCGCAGAGAGATGGCAAGGTGAGGCCTGCAGAAGGAGGGGACCCCATCTGTAGGAGGAGCTTGAATGCTTGAACCTGGGTCTTCTAGGCTGGGCTGCCTCCCCACCGACCGCCTCACTCCTTGACTGCTGGGTGAGGAGTCGATCCTTCAATACCGTCTGAGCAGAGCACAAGGGAAGACCCGAAGCACCCGGTCCAGCCAAGGATTAAACGCGGATGGATCGGGACCCAGAGCAACCTGGCACCATCACGTCCAACCTTCCTTGTAGAGGTGAGGTGCCTGGCCTGGGAGGCAGGGCGGGCTGGGTTCTATCCCATAGCAATGTCCAGTCTTTACATGGCTGAGTCTCTGCTCAGGGTCCCCTGGTGTCCTTAAATGTATGCGTTTCAGAACTCTTCAGTCTTTTATTTTCAAAAGAATTATTTAATTTTATTTATCATTATCATTATTATTTTTTAATTTGCTATAGGACACATGTGCTTGCCAGTGAGAGAGAGAGAGAGAGAGAGAGAGAGAGAGAGAGAGAGATCAAGCTGCCAGGTCCAAGACTTGAACCACAGCTGGCCAGGTGGGAGTCTAGTGCCTTAACCACCATACCACCTGCCAGGCTGGCCCCACAGAACCCCTAGTTCTAACTAGTATGCTGTGGATTTTCATGCTGAGAGCAGAGTCATTACCCTTTTCTCAGATTTACAGTAATAATGTTTTTAAAGGCACAAAAGGTCTGGTAAGGGGATGGCAGGTGGCGTGGGGTTTAGGCACTGGACTCCCACCTGGCCAACCATAGTTTGAGTCCCAGACCTGGGTTTCTCACTTTTCCTTTCTCTCTCTCTGTCTCTCTCTGGTCAAATTAAATCATAATAAATAAAATAAAGAATTATTTTTTAAAAAAGAAAAAAAGGTCTGGTGTGCATATGACAATACTTAGGGAATGGTGCCCCTGTCTTCCCTGGGGTGGGCTGAGGGAAACAGAGTTGAGCAGTAAGGGGCAGAACAGTGGTGTGACAGTTAAACAGGACACTCCACGAGGCTGACCCACACAGGAAGGTTCCGGGCTTGGGCCTGAGACCCCCCCTGAGTATGCTGGACACACATGCCCATGACCCATGTTGGCCAGGGCTGGGATGGATGGCGACCTTTGGGCCCTATTGGATGTGCTCTGTCTGTCTTTCTCATTCATGGACTAGATATATACATTTTTAAAAAGCAGAGGTGAGAGGGACCAGCAGATGGCATAATGGCTACATCGCTGGACTCCCATGTAATTGACCCTGATTCAAGTCCTGGACCTGGTGGCTTAAACTCACACCGGGCGCGTGTGCATGCGTGCCCAAGATCCCGAGAGGAGAATGGAGGAGAAGGGATTGTGGCATGGCCATCCCCCCTGGGGGGTGATTTCTTACTTTCTGTCTCTCTGTTTCTCTCCTTCTTTCTGGCAAGCGCACACATCCTATAGCAAAACTCTCTTCCCCCACCAAAAAAAAGCAGAGGTGAGAAACTGACCAAGCCAGTGAGATGCCCCCAACCTGTCTGTGAGAGAGAACATTCTCCTGGAGACTCTCACCCTGTCCTGGGGGGCTCGACAGAGGCAAAGCCCTTCTGCACTGACTCTCAGCTCCTCCTGGGACTCGCGATGACAGCCCATACAAGGCACAATTCTTGAAGTCAGAGCACAGTCTGTTCGACCCATTTTCCCGATGGGGAAATAGGCCCGGCCAGCCCCGTGCCGCACAGACCTCTGACCCCAGGCCCTCTGTAGCAGAAGGTTGCCCCAGTGCAGAGTGGCAGGGGCTGAGTCTCATCTTCCTTTGCACTTGAGAATCTCCAGGCTTTTAGGCAAATCACTGGGCCCTCTGTGCCTCAGCTTCTCCACCTATAAAATGAGAATCCTAACAGGAGCTCTTCTTCTTTTTTTATTTTTAGTTTGCTATAGTGTGCATGCGCTTGCCAGAGAGAGAGAGAAAGTGAGAAATCACCCCCTAAAATCACCACAGTCCCTTTTCCTCCATTCTCTTGGGATTTTGGGTGCACACGCACACACATGTATCCAGTGTGAGTTTCAAGACACGGGGTCCAGGACTCGAACTGCAGCTGACCATGTGGGAGTCCAGTCACATTAACCACCACAACACAACCTGGCTTGGGGTTTCTTCCTTAAAGGGTCATTCTTTTTTTTATTTTTGAGAGGTTTTCTTCACTATAGGGCGCATGCGCTCGCCAGACAGACAGCGAGAGACATAGAGATAGAAAGCGAGAAGTCCCCCCCCAGGGGGGATAGCCACACCACAATCCCTTCTCCTCCATTCTCCTCTCGGGATCTTGGGCACGCACGCACACGCGCCCGGCGTGAGTCT